AAGCTACAGACTGAGAAAAATATATGTAATATATATATGTAATATATAATCTGAAATATATATAATCTGACAAAGAACTCATATCCAGAATATATAAAAAAACTTTTTCAACATGGAAAAGGTGGCAAAATAATTGAGTAGGGATTTTATTTTTAAAAATCCAAATGGTCAATAAACACATGAAAAGGTGCTAAAAATTATTGCTCTTCAGGAAAATGCAAATTAAAACCACTGGAAGATATACCATATATCCACAAGAATGCGTAAAATAAGTAGTTAAAATTAAAAATACTGACAACATCAAGTGTTAGAGAGAATGGAGCAGCTAGAACTCCTATGAATTGCTGATAGAGTGTAAAATGATACAACCACATTGGAAAATGGTAGTTTCTAAGAGAGTTCAACACTTTTCCCATATCCCAAAATTTCCACTCCTAGGTATATATCCAATAGAAATGACTTGTTGATAGCAGATTTTATTAATAGCCAAAACCCAGAATCAATCCAAATGCCTATCAGCAGGAGATTGAAGAAACAAACATAGCATGTTCTTACACTGGAACGCTACACAGAAATAAAAAACAAACTGCTGATAAATCTGACAACCTGACATGTGGATGAATATCAAAAACTATGCAAAGCAAATGAAACAAAAGAGCACCGACATCATGCGTCTACTTATATGAAATTTTAAAACAGGGAAATCGAGTGGTTGAGCACATCGTAGTGATGGGAGAGAACTTTCTGGGAAGATGGAATGTTCTATGGCTTATCACAGATATATACAACAATTGTAAAAAATTGAGGCACATATTATGTAGCTGTGCACTTAAAATTTGTGCATTTTACGATGCATAAATTATGCTTCAGTTTTCAAAAAGGAAAAAATCTCACCTGGAATCCTAAAATATGTGTAACCCAAACAAGAACTAGGAACCCCCCAGCAACAAAGATTTAGGTAGAATTACCTCATCCTCCAGTTTGGAGAAAGGAAATTCTAAGCCTCCCCAAGTTTGGCTGAGCTCTAAGGTTTCACTCTCTTGATTCTCTTCTTATCATTCTGTTTTCCTCCATATTGATTTAGGCACATGAACTTAGTGTGCTCCTCCCCGATCCTCAAAAATAATAAATCCACCCATGCCAAGCTTTTAGCAAGTCCAGTCAGTTTTTTGCAGGCTTGGCGTCACAGGAGGGGTCCCGTCATGGGTCCCTATCAATATGGAACAGAAACTCTGCTGTTCTCGAGCCAGGAAGCCAGACAGCACTGGTGGTATGGGGACTCAGTTTCCACAAATTATGATGGCCAGTCCATGTTGAGTGTTGAGGGTATAGTAGGAAAAGACAGGCAGTTAGTTGGTGTTTTCCTAATATAGCAGTCTACACATTGCTTCCAGTTTTATCTTCCTAAAGAACAAATGGCTTCCCTATAGCTTGGTCTTCAGCAATAAACCTGACCTCCATAACCTGGCAACTAAAGTGTAAGATCTTTCACCTGTTTTTCATGACCTGTCCTCAGTCAACCGTGCCTCCTGCTTTCACTCTTCACCACAAGGATAGCCAGGAGGAATAACTACGTCCTCTCCTGAGCACGCACTTCAAATGGAGTCTTCACAGCTGTTTTTAAGGCACTGTGTTGATGCAGTGGTAGTTAAGACTCTAATGAAAAACATTAGAGGAAGAAGTATAACAGCAAGACCAAGAGACACATGAAGAAGGCATTCAAAAGGCAGTGCTTTTTTATTCTAGCTTTTTGGGGGTGTAACTTACATAGATAAAGTCCACCCACTTTAAGTGCACAATCTGATGAAGTTTGGTAATCGTATACTGTTGTGTAGCCACTATCACAATCCACATATGGAACAATTCCATCTCCCTAAGACGTTTTAGTGTGCCTCTTTACAGTCCATTCCATCCCTCTCCTCAGCCTCAAGCAACTTCTGATCTCCTTTTTGTCACGATAATTTTGCCTCTTCTAAGGTCTCATCTAAATGAAATAATATAGTCCATGGTCTTCTGTGTTTGTTTGAAAGTGTTTCTTTCACTTCTCACTTTGACTTGATTTTTAGGTTTACCTGTGATTTAATATATCACTATTTTGTTCCTTTTTATTGTTGAGTAGTATTCTATACTGTGGCTCTACCACAACTATTCTTGCCTTTCACCAGTTGATGGACATTTGGGTTTCCATCAGTTTTGAGCCATTATGAATAATGCAGCTGTGAGCATTTGTATGCCAGTCTTTGTGCAGATATACTTCATTTCCCCTGGGGAAACAGCTAGCAGTGGGAACAGTGGGTTGCGTGATAAGTGAATGCATCCCCACATCCACTCCTGGCAATGGGTAGAAGAGCAATTAGCTGGGGAAGTTCAGAGCCCCAGGTGTGTAAGTAAAGCTGCAGACGAGCCCAAATTCTCAGTATCTTTATGGTTCAAGAGCTCTAAGCCGACAGTAAAGTAAGAACTGGGCTGGGGCTCGTGCACCTCCTAGGGCCCAGTAGGGGCAACCACTCCATAGTGAAGCCCCATAAACCAGCCCACAAAAGAGAAAACTCACATAAAAGATAAATCCTGTGGCAGATGAACTGACAGACAAGAAATATGAAACAAGTGAAGATTTCTAGCTCCATAAACACAACCTGCATAATTCATACCAAAAGAATCCAAAAAGCAATCTTAAAGGTACCTTTAATATAAATGTGTATTTAATCAACTGTATGATTAACTTAAGTAAACAATGAACACAGGGATAGGAATTGTTGTGCTTTTCTCTTTTGCACTTCCTTGCATGCAATTCTTCCTCTGTCAACCAAAGGCATCCATACTACCCTTGATAAGAACTAGGATTATTATAGGAGGAATACAAAAGACAAAAGCAATATTTGCTCTGGGGAAATTTTTACTTTTAAAATAAATTATTGAGAATCAGTAGGAAAGAGCTGAGAGTACAGAGCACAGACCCTAGAAAGAGAACAGTAGACTTGCTGTTTACCATATCCCCTACCACCGGGGAGATTCAGTAAGGATAGCCTGACTAGGATGTAAGTGAAGAACTAAAAATGGGCTGCAGGCTTGAAAAAAGTCAGGGGCCTGAATATGAAAGGACTTGACTTGGGGAGGTCACATGAAGATGAATAGAACCAGTGGCCTATGAAAGCTGAACCAAAGTCTTCAGACGACCTGTGGCTTATTAAAGGAGCACCTTGTCAGCCACGTTCACTGTTCTTCTTAAACCACAGGGTAAAGGCATTCAGTGGAGAGATACCTATGTAACGCCCCTCAGTTTAGCCTATAAGACACTCACCCAGCTTCAAGAATTTGCCAAGTGCCTGTCAAACATCATTACGAAGAAACAAGCGGCTGGGCGCAGTGGCTCACACCTGTAATCCTGCACTTTGGGAGGACAAGGGGGGCGGATCACCTAAGGTCAGGAGCTTGAGACCAGCTTGGGCAATATGGTGAAAGCCCGTGTCTACTTAAAAATATACAAAAATTAGCCGGGCTTGGTGGCAGGTGCCTGTAATCCCAGCTACCTGGGAAGCTGAGGCAGGAGAATTGCCTGAACCCAGGATGCAGAGGTTGCAGTGAGCCAAGATCACACCACTACACTACAGCCTGGGTAACAGAGCAAGACTCTGTCTCAGAAAAAACAAAAGAAACAAATCTCTGTATCATGATATAGAACAATCTCTAAAATATAGTGTTAGGAATAAAACAAATAGTATAATCGTTTATGTAGAATAGCATTTGTATAGAAGAAAACCTATATACATGTATGTGTATGTATGTGTGTGTAGCCAATTATTTTTATATTTCTATGTGTAAAGAATATCTCTGAAGAATACACAAAAAGCTGGTCCCAACAGTTGACTCTGGAGAGGAGAAGGGTGTCTGGGGAATTAAGTGAGTGAATAATTCCTTACATTGTAAAGCCTGGTTCCTTCCAAACATTTTTATCCTGTGTATGTATTATATATTCCCAAAATTGAATAAAATTATATACATAAATATTCACACAACATGGCAATTTTGCTTCTAGATAAGTTGCCTGCAGAAGCCCTCACATACAAAAGGGGAAAACATGCAACATTGTTTATAAGAATGAAACACGAGAAACAACCAAAATCGTCATCAATAGGGAAATGAGTATGTAAAATATGAGCTAGCGAAGACCAATTAGACAGGTACAATAAATAGCTAGGTCTAGCACAGAATCGCATATCACAGTTAAAGGAAATGAACTGGATTGATTTATCTGTAGATTATCTATCTGTGTATCAACATGAAAAGGCTCAAAAACATGTTGAATAGAAAAAAAACCATAAATAGAATATGTTTAGCATACAATTTAAGAGAAATTTTAAAGACACAACAAGTAAAGTATAAAAATGGCCTGGAAGGATATCAACTCACAGTGCAATTTGCCCTCTGGAGAGCAAGGTTGCGTGGGGTACAGGGCTTCCTCCATAACTGAAATATTTTATTTCTTAAAAATAACTACCAAAATAAAAGACAGCAAGTAAATATGACAAAAAGGTTCAAAGTTTTAACTCTGAGTGACAGGAATACAGACATTTGTCATTTTCTTCTTTGTGTTTTTCTGTATGTTAAGCATTTCTAGATATTTAAATAAGAGTAAAGAACACATATCCAACCAATGTCCTCCAGATAGAACCTTTTGCTCTATTTCTAAAGTCAAGGAAATTCTAAACTACTCTGACATTATTAGTAAGTATTGCTTTTAAAAAATTGTGCTACAAGTTTTAAAACATTTGGAAATTCTGGTTGTGGCTTCAGATTTCATAGTTCAGATGATGCAACAGGATGGAACCATTGTCAAAGAGAAGGCAGGGGCGTTTCATCTTGTTAGGACTTGACTCCTGTACTTGCCCATTTGTTCATCCATCAACCCTCTTTCCTCCAAATTCCACGTAGCATATTCTGTCCAGGAAGCAAGAAGATTTGCTTGGAGGCATACTCATTTTCCCCATGCCTCTTTGCTCTCTGTGGAAAATAAAGCATTTTATAGGCGGAGCTAATGAACACCTCTTTTAAAACCCAAGTCTCCATGCTTCCCTGTTCACTTTGGTTCCAACATTCTGCCTAGCAAAGAAGCAGTCAGTCAAAATGATACCCGGAGGCTTATCTGAGGCCAAACCCGCCACTCCAGAAATTCAGGAGATTGTTGATAAGGTGAGTTGATTCCATTCAGGAAAAAGTCTGAGCTGAAATCTTGATTCATAGGTTGTCACTGTGGAAAGGATGTGGTTGAACATGAAAACCAGAACTTCAGGATGTGTATGGCTTTGTTCAGGTTTCTTTTCAACTATGATGAAATAAAGTTGTTTCTTCTTTTCAGATGAAACCTCAAATAACCCCCAAACTGTGAGTGTGACCTTGAGCAAATCACATTTCTTCTCTGAGCTTCATTTTCTCCATTTGTAAAAGAATAATTTGTATTGTATCATCTTTAAAGCTCTTACAAGATATGATTCTAGGATTACTAATTCAGTTTCTGATGAAACTTTTCTAATCTCACCAAGTGAAGCCAACGTGTAATTGAAGACTAAGGTTGTTAATAATTTGATTAAGTAGACTTGGAACCCACTGCGGGGAATTTTTTAAAAATCGATTGAATGAAGAATAACATTGTAAAGGCAATCTACTTACAAACTTCATACACGTTTGCTTAAATAGACACTGTTTTAGTCTTTTCATAGTTAAAGGATGATTAAACAAATGGAGAAGAGAAGTGACAGTCTCTAGTGACTCCAAAGTATCATAGGCTGCCAAATTATATATGGAAAAATAGAACTCAATGTTGTTAGCAGATTGATACATTTTTATTTCCTTCTGTTTTGTTTTGCTTTGTTTTTAAGAGACGGGGTCTCACTCTGTCATCCAGGCTGGAGTGCAATAGTGTGATCACAGCTCGCTGTAACCTCAACTTCTCGAGCTCAAGCAATCCTCCCCACTCAGCCTCATGAGTAGCTGGATTACAGACACATGCCACTACACTTGGCTGATTTTGGGGATTAGTTTTGTTTTGTTTTTGGAGATGGAGTTTTATTTTGTTGCCTAGACTGGTCTTGAATTCCCGGGCTCAAGCCATCTGCTCACCTAAGCTTCCCAAAATATTGTGATTACAGGTATGAGCCACCACACCCAGTCCTGATATATTTTTCTAAGTGCTGTTTGATTAGATATCATCTATATAGTAAACATTTATTTGCATATTTTGTGAAAGAAAAACATGTACAAATTATTATTTTAGCTTTTTAGTTTGTTGCCATATTTTCTTGTGTCAGAAAAAAGGACATTTTCAGGATAATTGGCAAAATTCTAAGAAGGTGTAGAGACTACTTAATAGTATTATTCTTGTTTTTTCTCTCTGAAACATCATTCTATGACAGCTTGGCAAACAAGATCAGCTTTTTGTGTGATTATAAGAGTTGGGCTCTTGTATATTCGGGAAACTAGAAAGCTCTCTAAGGGGCCAGATGCCTAGAATCCCATCACTCATTCTTAGGGACTAATTATTTCTATTTCAAGAGTTCTTTTTTTCTTTTAATGAATAAATATCCTGAAGATTTTTCTTTCTGGGAGAAGATGATATTAAGTCAGTAATTCCTTCATGTGAATTCCCCTATCAGATCAATGTTCTCAAACTTGAAGGTGCACATGAATCACTTGCAAGTCTTGATAAACCTGATTCAGGGGGCCTGGGGTAGGTCTGAGATTCTGCATTTCTACCAGGCTCCCAATTGCTGCTGCTGCTGCTGCTCTCCATGACCTCACTTGCCTGCAGGACCAGAGATATATGGCATCCTATGAGGCCAGTAAGAGACGGGGCTTTAAAAGTCAGGTTGCCAAAAATAAAACCTGGCTATTTCATTTGAAAAATGAAGGTAACACCATCAATTTCAGAGCTGAAAGGACTGAGATAATGTGCATAAAAAGGACTTGAAAATGAAAAAGAAATGTGCATAGGTGAGGCAACACAATTGTTTACTTCAGATTTGTGGCTAAAATCATCTCCGACCCTAAAAAAGCCCCCCTGAGACTCTCTAAGAATCAGAGCTGTAGGAAGATACAGAAAAATAAATTTGAAATAGAGAGAGTGCAGAAATTTTTAATGATTTTTAAAAGCCTATCACTTGATTAGCAAGAACTATTTATTTTTAAAATAAGAAGCTACCAGAAGGCCTTGCGTTGTTAATAACACCTATCTGTATGATTTGTTCTTAGTTACTGAAGTGCCTAAAAAAAAAAACACCTATCTGTGAGTCTCATCTTAAATTATAAAATTAATTTGAAAGTGTGTGTAGATGTGGGCTGCTTCCCTTGAACTCCAACTTCATCAGAGAGGTGGAATGAGAGATAAGTATTAACAACAGCTCCCTCGCCCCAGAAAGAGGCTTTGCAGTTTTAAAAACTTGATCTGACCTCCATTCAAAGTCTCATTTGATCTTCATAGCCCCTGGGACAGGCAGGGAAGTATTATGTCTATCTTATAGATGATGAAACCAAGATTCAAAGAGATTAAGAGTCACCTAGTTAAGAAGTTAACTCACCCTCAGTGTTTGACGGCCTGCCCTCTCCACCACACAGTGGCAGAACACAGAGGAAATTAGTTAGGAAAGGGAAATACGCTGAGTGGAGAGAGTGTGGTAAGTTTGTCTTCTCTGTAGAAGTGAGTGGAGAGAGTGTGGTAAGTTTGTCTTCTCTGTAGAAGCACCAGCCTCACATGTAAGTCAACATAGGAAGCCAAGGCGGGTGGATCACGTGAGGTCAGGAGTTAGAAATCAGCCTGGCCAACATGGCAAAACCTGTCTCTACTAATAATACAAAAATTAGCTGGACATGGTGGCAGGCACCTGTAATCCCAGCTACTTGGGAGGCTAAGGCAGGAGAATCGCTTGAGCCTGGGAGGCAGAAGTTGCAGTGAGCCAAGATCGTGCCACTGCACTTTAGCCTGGATGACAGAGCGAGACTCCATCTCAAAAAATTAAAAAATTTTGAAGTCATTAGAGAGCTGGGTGCGGTGGCTCATGGCTGTAACCTAGGCATTTTAGGAGGCTGAGGCGGACAGATTGCTTGATCTGGGGAGTTTAAGGGCATCATGACAAAATCCCATCTCTACCCAAACACAAAATACAAAAAAATAGCCAGTGGTACACGCCTGTAGTCCCAGCTACTTGGGAGGCTTAGGCAGAAGGACCACTTGCACCCAGGAAGTTGAGGATGCAGTGAGCCGTGACCACGTCACTGCACTCCAGCCTGGCCAACAAAGCAATACTCTGTCTCAAAATAAATAAATAAATAAATATAGGAAATGAATACCAATGAATCATTTCACGGTAGGTGCATTTCTTGTAAGTCTCTTAAGTGTCTAACATTATGCTAATTATTATGGAAGCTACATAAGGGCTGTAAGATATGGCCCCTGGCCTCTAAGAGTTTTACAGGGTAGTCGGGAAAACTGAGATATCTGGAACATAATAGAAAAAATATTCAAGTGAGTATTTTTTTTTTGAGTGTGTGAGACGGAGTCTCTCTCTGTCACCCAGGCTGGAGTACAGTGGCAAAATCTCGGCTAAGTGCAACCTCTTCCTCCTGGGTTCAAGTGATCTTCCTGCCTCAGCCTCCTGAGTAGCTGGGACTACAGGCATGTATCACCATGCCTTGCTAATTTTTTGTATTTTTAGTAGAGATGGGGTTTCACTGTGTTAGCCGGGTTGGTCTCCATCTTCTGACCTCATTATCCACCCGCCTGAGCCTCCCAAAGTGCTGGGATTACAGGCGTGAGCCACCTCGCCCCTCCAGAGTACTTTTTTACAATCATAGCTTTTAGACCAGAAAAGATGTTAGAGGTTGCTGGTGAAGCCTCCTTCCCTTCAGGTGAATAATTACTGTGTGGCAGTTCAGCTCCCACCCTCCTGTGTGGGTTTTTAAGCCCCAGTTATTGCTTATCTGCCCTCTCTTGCAGGAGTGAGCCTTAGGGCACAATTCCCAGGCCAGTGTTAGAAGGCAGAGGAAGAGTTGGAAAACTTTATAGTTTAAGAAGCACTTTCACATCAATTACATCATTTATACCCCGATAAACAGCCCCAAGAGGTAGGTATTATTATAACCACTTTATAGGTGAGAAACTTGAGTCAGTTCCTTCTCCAAAATTACAGAGCTAGGTCCCCATGCAGGGACAGGGTGGTGCTGGTAATTCAAGGTCAATCTCCACTACCTGTCACTTATTTGCTGGCTTTATTCCTTTGATTTTTTAAATGTATTTCTTTTTTTAAAAAAGTCATCTGTTAAAGTGCAAGTATTCTTAGAGGAGCTGAAGTTTATCAGCTTTCCTTGGCCTTCTCAGAAAGCTTTAGCGGAAGGCCAGCTGAAGAACCCCATTAGAAGCAGAGAAAGAAGGAAGGAAAAGATCATCACACAGAAAAGGGAAGAGTATCAAAGTCAAATGTTAACTGCATGACCAAAGAATTTGATACCACCGTGAAAGAGGGATACTGGATGAGGGCAGAACAAAAGAAAGGCAAACAGAGGGGACAGCGATTGAGAAAACTTGAATGTGTTTGAAGGCTTTGCATTCTGAAGATAACAGAGACTGAACATGCCATTGTGGCATTATGTACTAAAGTATACTCGGAAGAAAACCTTTTTCCAAGATTCTCTGTATTAGCTGAGGTCATTGCTATACTCATCTTTCCTATAGGGGAGACAAGTTGTCAGGATGGAAAACAACTGTGGTCTTTTCATTTAGAAAACATTGATTAGGGAGAACTGTGTGAATTGCTATGGGGGTTGCGAAGACATAAAATAGTGCCTGCCCCTGTGGAAATTCATAAAATAGAATGGAGGGAGCTAAGAGGAACACATAAAGAAAGACAGAGCCATACGCAGCCCCATTCATGAAAAGCCACAATCTCTATCATGAAGAACCAAATAAATGAATGACCCAATAGCAAAAGCCTCTGGATCATCATTGCTGATCCATTATCTTATATAATATGTTAATAAGCATTTGATGAGAATTCTGAGCATGTTTATGAGAAGGAAAGAAATGTTATTTAATTATTTTTAGAAGGGCTACTATACAAGCAATGTGCATGCACACAACACACACACACACAAATGTTCCCCTTAGTCATAAACCTGATTGCTGAATACCATTCCTGATCTACACACAGAACATGATTTTTGTCGGTCAGGACACCACACAAACATGTCATTTGCATACCATCCTGGGTACACCCTGGAACTTAGCATGCCATCCACAAATTTGCATTCCCCTCTCTAACCACAGCCTCCTCCTTAGTCACCTCTCCCACTGTCCCACACCCAAAGAACCTGCCATTCAGCCACACCAGAATCCTCCAGGCACCTACCTTGCCATCTTCATGAGAACATGCCCAGGCCCACTCAGTCTCTCATCCAGCCTGGACCCCAGGACCAGAGGATAGCTTCAAATACCTCCACTAATGATGATTTCCTTGACCCTGGGAGCTCTTGGCATTCTAATTCTCAGTTAAAGATCACGCCCACTGCCATTGCATATCCATCCAGGATAAAACAACTTTGCCAAAGCGAGGTGCCACAGAAAATTCACCCATTATAAACCTATGAATTAATGCTGAACAACTCGGACAGGACCCAGGGCTGCCAGAATATCTTTTCAGTCATATTTGTTGGTCTTTTTCTAGAAACCCCACAAACGTGAATCTCTCTTCAGTTGCTCAATCTCTCCCATCCCCCATGGTCCCTCCAGCAGGATGTCTCAGTGCCTACTTTTCTTAGTAGAACATTTTTGGCACCAGGGAACAGCTTCGTGGAAGGTAATTTTTCCACAGATGGGGTGAAGGGGATGGTTTTGGTATGAAACTGTTCCACCTCAGATCATCAGGCATGATATTCTCATAAGGAGCATGCAACCTCAATCCCTTGCATGCACAGTTCACAGTTGTGTTCGAGCTTCTATGAGAATCTGACGCCACCGCTGATCTAATAGGAGGCAGAGCCCAGGCCTTAATGCTCACTGGCTCACTGCTCCCCTTCTACTGGGCAGCCCGATTCCTAACAGGCCAGGGATGAGTGCTGGTCTGCAGCCCAGGGATTGAGGACCCCTGTCAGGGGATCGCAGGCTTCTGGTAAGAAAATGCCCCAGTTGATCCTATCTCTTGCTGGATCTCATTCTTCCCTAGACTCGGTTCTCTCCTCAGCCAGCCCTTCCTCTCTTAGCCAGGTGACTTCATTTCTTGCATCCTCAATGCCTAGTCCCATACTTTCTTCTTCCTTCAAAACATATTCAGACAACAAATGTCCACGAGTCACATCTTACAACAAATACACACACACACACACACACACACACACACTCCCCTTAGTCATAAACCTGATTGCTGAATACCATTCCTGGCCAACACACAGAACATGATTTTTGTCGGTCAGGACACCACACAAACAACTCATCTGCATACCATCCTGGGTACACCCTGGAACTTAGCATGTCATGGTAGACTCTCGCATATCAGGCACAGCTGAGAGTCGGAATGAAGTACTGTACGGAAAGCTGATGGGTTCAGTGAACGTTTACAAACTGAATTTGGGACTCTGTCTCCCTTCTCATGCTTGGTTCAGGAATGCTGGCATTTAAGCCTATACCCCTCTGTGGTAGACAGAATGATGGCCCTCCAAAGATGTCCATGTCCTAATCCCTGGAACCTGTGACTAGGTTCCTTTACACAGCAGAAAAGACTGTGATTAAGTTAAGGGTCTGGAGATGGAGACATTATCCTGGATTATCCAGGTAAGCCCATGCAATCACAGGGTCTTTATGAGAATTATATCCAAATATTGCACTGTAGTTAGTGTTTTTTTTTCCCACAGAGGTATAAGTCAGCAATTCTAAAAGTATTTTATATATATGCTAGAACTGAACAAATAGGCAAATACATTGCAAGTAATAAGAACCAGGCTTCTTCCTCAGTGTTTGAGAAAGGAGTTACAATAAGGAAAGGGGAAAGATTAAATGAGTTCTGTGGTATTTGATTTTTTTTTTTTTTTTTTTGAGACAAAGTTTCACTCTTGTTGCCCAGGCTGGAGTACAATGGCGTGATCTCGGCTCACTGCAACCTCCGCCTCCCAGGTTCAAGCAATTCTCCTGCCTCAGCCTCCTGAGTAGCTGGGATTCCAGGCATGTGCCACCATGCACAGCTAATTTTGTATTTTTCATTCAGATGGGGTTTCATCGTGTTGGTCAGGCTGTTCTCAAACTCCTGACCTCAGGTGATCCACTCACCTTGGCTTCTCAAAGTGCTGGGATTATAGGCATGAGCCACTGCACCCGGCATCGTGTTTGATTTTAATCAGAGGAATATATATATATATATATATATATATATATATATATATATACACATACACACACACACACACACACGCACACACACACATGCACCCCTACATATATGTATAATGTATATATATAATGACACACACATAAATGTGTTTATATATGCACACACATACGAGTAGATAAAGATGAATGCACATGTGTGTGAGTACACAGACATATTATTTTGTAGCCCTTTCTACTGAATGGGCCTAGAAGCAATGACAATTTCAACTATTGAAGAAATAGTTGATTCCAGTGAGGAGGCAAGGATAATTCAAGATAAACCTGGAACATCTGATTCTACCTCTGTAGAGTCAGAGAATAAGGAAGAGTTTATAAAATATGGGGGATTATTGAAAGGACACAGGCATCAGGTGAAGGAGCTCCCAAGGGCCAAATCCAGGACATTTGAATAACAAAATAAAGAGTAATGAATTGTAATTCACAGAGTAAAAGAATTATCCATGAGTCGTATTAATATAAAATAAGGCAGGGCGAAGTGGCTCACCCCTGTAATCCCAGGACTTTGGGAGGCTTAGGCAGGCAGATCACGAGGTCAAAAGTTCAAGAGCAGCCTGACCAACATGGTGAAACCCTATCTCTACTAAAAATACAAAAATTAGTCAGGCAAGGTGGTGCACACCTGTAATCCCAGCTACTCAGGAGGCTAACGTAGGAGAATTGCTTGAACCCAGGAAACGGAGGTTGCAATGAGCAAAGATTGCACCACTGCACTCCAGCCTGAGCAACAGAGGGAGACTGCCTCTCAAAAAAATAAATAGACTGGGCACTGTGGCTCATGCCTGTAATCCCAGCACTTTGGGAGGCTGAGGTGGGCAGATCAGCTGAGACTGGGAGTTCAAGATCACACCAGTCTGGAGAACATGGAGAAAACCCATCTCTACTAAAAATACAAAATTAGCCCGGTGTGGTGGTGCATGCCTGTAATCCCAGACACTCAGGAGGTTGGGCCAGGAGAATAACTTGAAACTGGGAGGCGGAGGTTGCGATGCACTGAGATCACCCATTGCACTCCAGCCTGGGCAACGAGAGCAAAACTCCATCTCAAAAAATTAATCAATTAATTTAATTAAATAAGTAATGAACTACATAAAAAGGAAAGAGGGAATAGCTCTTCCTTAGAGTAAAATTCCAAATAATAAATGTACAAGAAATTATTTTTTAAATTACCATTTGGCCAACACCACAATTAATCATTGTCGTAGGCAGGAACCATCAATGGTGCTAAAATTCATGAATGAAAGTATGACAAGAAACAGGACTGCTGCGTAGTCTGAATGTCTCCTCACAAGGCACTTAATAATTACAAAGGGGGAAAAAAAAGTAACTTTACAGTGGAGAAACCTGGCAGACATCCTAAGTGATCAAAACTAACATCACCAGTAATGAACTGCAGCTCCTGATAGGATGCACTAAAGCACAACATCACTTTTGTGTATTGTTACAAAAATGTATGATGCTAACCTAAGAGGAGATCACACAAACCTAAACTGAGGGACATTCTACCAATTAACAGGCCAGTATTTTTCAAAAATGCCAAGGTCATGAACAACAAAGGAATGAACCCAGATTGTAGGAGAAATAACAGCTAAATGCAATGTAGGATCCTAAATGAGATCTTGGCGCAGAAAAAAGGACATTTTCAGGATAATTGGCAAAATTCTAACAAGGTTTAGAGACTACTTAATAGTATTATGCCATGTTAATTTCCTGATTTTGGTGATTTTACTGTTATACAAAATGGCAAAATTAGGGGAACTGTAAATGATATAAGAGAACTCATTATACTAATTTTACAACTTTTAAGTCTGAAATTATTTTAAAATAATGTTTTAATCAGGTAGTAATTATTGCTTTCCTGATTTTTGTTAATCAAAAATGTATATAACTCTTAGAGTTTTAGCTGTCAAAATGTTCCTATATTACATTACCACACTGAGTTGATGTAAATTCAGCCAAAAGCAACACAATTTAACATTTTAACCTATGTAATTATATTAAAATGGGTGTTTTCTATTGAAATAATAAAAATAGTTCATAGATCTCATTACCATCTTTGAAGACTTTTAGGAGGATGAGGTTTCCAGATGTATAAATTGCATAAATGGAGTCTAATATAGCTTTGATTATTTTTTTCCTCTTTTCTTTAGGTTAAACCACAGCTTGAAGAAGAAACAAATGAGAAATACGAAAAATTGGAAGCTGTGGAGTATAAAACTCAAGTCGTTGCTGGAACAAATTACTACATTAAGGTTAGAGTTCAGCACCTACTTTAGCACAAAAGATGTATTTCTCATTTTATGTAAAATGTTCCCTGATTTCCCTACCATATAATTCCTTCCTTACCGTTGTCCTAAACTAAGATGCCCAGCATGATACCTTTCAAATGGTAGACTCTCAAATTTGGTAGATGATGTGATACCATTTTCTTTCTTGTGAATTCAGAAAGCTTTATTACATTGATTCTTGATTTCCAGAAATTGTATAGAAAAAGATTTCATAACAGTTCAGGGCATGCTGGATGTGTGGCTGTGCTGCTTCTTAGGTAAGGAGGGAGGATCACGCCTCATCTGCCCAAAGGTGTGGGACTGGGACAGATGGTATCTTGAAGCTGGTTCCACCTCAAAGCTGTATAATCCTACATGTCTAAATTAAATAGATTACAGTAATGACTCAAACTATTAGCTGGGAAAATAATTTAAACCATTTTTGCCCTTTAAATAAGCATTTTGATTAATATAATGTAAATACTATTTTTGTAACACAAATTAGTAGATTTAACTTGTGGCACTTTAGGTATAGTTTAAAGCAGTGGAGTATTTAAAATAGTTTAAAAATTAATTGTATAGCTCTGTCAAAAAATTACATGATGCACTGATCCAGTTCTTTTTTTTTTTTGAGACGGAGTTTCGCTCTTGTTGCCCAGGCTGGAGTGCAATGGCTTGAGCCACCGCGCCGGGCTGCACTGATCCAGTTCTAATTGAAGTTATCAAGAGGAAACCAATTTAGCAAGTCAACCATGAATATTGGAGAAGCATTTTTTCCTTATGTATTAAGATGATAATTCCAATTTTAAAAATAAAAACAAATATTCAAGAATATTTACTTAATCTTAGCTATTTGGCCAGGGCACAGTGTGGCTTCTCTTTAACAAACAATTCAATTAAAATATAAAAATTTTAAAAGATGGTCTCAGCAAAAAAATTAAGTAAGGAGAGCTAGTCAGCTCAGAATAAGAAAGTTTCAGTACTGAGTTATGTACATGGATCAGCCCTGTTCTGCCAAACATGAGCTCCAAGTAAAGACCAGGTCCTGGGGAGACACAGGTGAAAGAGCCCCTGCTGTATCCTCAGAAAACAATGGCACCATTTCCTCCATTCTCAATCTGCTTTCTCCATTCTGGAAAAAGGTTTTCCAGTTAAAAATGATTATGAGCCAAGATAGGAAACATTCTATCAACATTAGGTATTTATTTTAATAAATTACGGTTAATTCAAGTACATACATTTCACATGTTACCAGTTCACACCTTTCTTCAACAGTTCATCAGATAACTATCTTGAAAATTTCTTCCCTTGACCTTCCTTTTGTCCTCTCTTAATCAGTCTCCTCTCTCTCTCTCTCTCTCTCTTCCCTCTCTCTCTCTCATCTTTTCTTCCTTCTGCTATCAAATTTTTCCTAGTGGATCTCAGCCACGGATCCAAGTTCCCCTCTTACTTCCTCGCAGTCTGACTGTTGATCCCTTTGCTCTGAGCCACTTGAGATTTAAGGTCTTGCCAGTGACATGACCTTCTCTATGAATCTCAAGTACCTATCAAGAGGCAGGTGGTGGAAATGGAAGGACCACAGGCTTAGGTGTCAGAGTGTCCTGGTTTTGAACCCTTGTTCAATTTGTTCTATGGGTCAAAATCTGTGTGATGGAAGCTCCTCCTTCTCTCTGAGCCTTCATTCCCTAACCTGCACAATGAGGGTAATAACCTACTTTGCAGGGTGTTGTGAGGAAGAAATAAGCTGGAAATTTACTGAGCACTTACAATTCTCCATGTGCTATTCTAAGAGCAGGGCATGTGTTATCTCAGTTAATCTTCACAACAAATCTATGAGATAAATACAATCACTTCTCTTGGGTTACTGATGATAAAATTGAGCTCCCAGGTGGTGAAGAAACTAACAAAGTTCACAGAACTGTAAGAGCAGAGTCAGGATTTGCACCCAGATGGACTGAGCTTAACTACTGGCTGCATTGTCTTTAATATAAAGTACAAAATAAGAACTTTTAAATGGTTACACTGTCCTGGTGTGGTGGCTCACGTCTGTAATCCCAGCACTTTGTAAAGCCAAGGTGAGAGGATAGCTTAAAGCCAAGAGTTTGAGATCAGCCTGGGGAACACAGTAAGACCCTGTCTCTACAAAAAAAATGTTTAATTACCGAGGCGTGGTGATGCACACCAGCAGTCCTAGCTACTTGGGAAGCTGAGGTATGAGGATCACTTGGACTGAGGAGTTTCAGCCTACAGTGAGCTATGATCACATCACTGCACTACAGTCTGGGCAACAGAGTGAGGCCTCATTCCCCCATCACAGTGTAACCCCAAAAAAGGTTAGACTGTAAAGTGAAAAGAATGTAGATATTAGAGCCTAACAGATCTGGGTTGGAATATTGGCTGTGCCACTTATTAGCTGAGAGATTTATGACAAATCACTAAATCTGTCTTTATTCTGCTTCCACATCTATAAAATTTTCCTTCTTCTACCTTTCTTCAGGCCTATAATACTAACTTAATATAATCATATATATAAAATGCTCATCACGGTGTCTGGCTCACAGTAAACATTTGATATATGGCATTTGTTAAAATTAGGATAGAAAGTGACATCAGATGCACAATAAATATTTTTACAAGACAGAATATTCTTACCATAATTTTCTAGGTCTCAGATTCACATCCAGACTCCTGCCTCTGCTTCAACCTTCATATCAATGACTTCCTAGCAAAACCCCTTGGCTTTTTTTTTCTTTGAGAAGAAGTTTCACTCTTGTCACTCAGGCTGGAGTGCAGTGGCACGATCTCAGCTCGCAACCTCCACCTCCCAGATTCAAATGATTCTCCTGCCTCAGCCTCCCAAGTAGCTGGGATTACAGGTGTGAGCCACAATGCCAGGCTGATCCCTTCACTTTAGAAGGGAGGGTGGCTGCCCCCTGGGCTCTGCTCAATCCTATCAGTGGGCATTTATAAAGTAGGTTCTGATATGGGAATGGGAACCCTGCATCCCAAATTTTCTAGGGCAATTCTGATTTTCTTCTCCCTTATCAGATTGTATGGCAAACAAAGTGTCCCAAGTTGGGAGTCAGAAAACAGCATCACCAAAAACATAGGCTGTCACTTGTTTTCTTGTTCTATGCATTTTTGAAAATAAAATGCTGTCCTCTGTGCCCAGATTATACTAAAATAAAAATGAAATTAAAAATGAATAAACCTAGGACCTATGCCTCTTGCCATGCCATTAGTCTACTTTTTTTTTTTTTTTTTTTGAGACAGACTCTCACTCTGTCACTCAGGCTGGAGTGCAGTGGCGAGATCTCAGCCTCTGGAGTAGCTGGTATTACAGACACACACCACCAAGCGCCCGCCTACTTTTGTATTTTTAGTAGAGGCGGGGTTTCACAATGCTGGCCAGGCTGGTCACGAACTGCTGACTTTGTGATCTGTTTGCCTTGGCCTCCCAAAGTGCTGGTGTTATAGCATGAGTCACCACGCCTGGCCTAGTCTACTTTTTCTCTCCTAAAATAAGGTGGTGGATTTATGAAAACAAAGAATCTAAGAATGGTGGGCTAGGCCTAGCAATACTGTTCCCCAGCAGCTTTTTGGATGGAAGTCTTTATAGACCTGTGGATCTCTCACTTGACATAGACCTATTTGAACGAATCTCCTTTTTGCTTTCTCTTTTTTTAATACTTTTCAGGTACAAGCAGGTGATAACCGTTATATGCACTTGAAAGTATTCAAAAGTCTTCCCGGACAAAATGAGAATTTGGTGCTTTCTGGATACCAGACTGACAAAAGCAAGGATGACGAGCTGACTGGCTTTTAGCAGCACGTTCCCGGAGTGCTCTGATTCCTTCTACCGAGTCATGATCCCTGCTGAGAAATGTAACCGTCAATAAAGATGCATTATTTAAAAAAATATATTTCTTCAATTATTTCTTATTTATTGTATTAAGTAAAAATTATTTTTTCTTTCTCAAAATCCATGTTACTGCTTTAGAGTATAAATTCCATATAAATTGGTGTCATTGGAAATCTTAGAAAAACTAGACAAGCCTAATGCAACTGGCTAAAGGATAGCACCACCCTTACCTCCACCACAGGCAGGCTGGATTGTGGACTGTCAGTTCACCAGCCTCTTGTTCCTTGTGGTTGCTGAGAACCCAACATTCCATTTCTACCCTCATACTTCAAAATTAAATCAAGCATTTTACAAAGTATGTGTGTACGTGTGTGTGTGTGTGTGTGTGTGTGTGTATAGTTTTTTTAAAGATGAAGTCTTGCTCTGTCCCACCGGTTGGAGTGTGATGGCGTGATCTCAGCTCATTCCAACCTCCGCCTCCCAGGTTCTAGCGATTCTCCTGCGTCAGCCTCCTGAGTAGCTGGGACTACAGGTGCCTGCCATCACGCCCTGCTAATTTTCGTATTTTTAGTAGAGACAGGGGTTTGCCATGTTGGCCAGGCTGGTTTCCAATTCCTGACCTCAAGTGATCCGCCCACCTCAGCCTCTCAAAGTGCTGGGATTACAGGTGTGAGCCACCACACTCGGCCTATATTTTTATTTTGAAACAATCTTAGACATAGAGAAAAGTTGCAAAAAAAAAAAAACACTTTTTTTTCCTGGACATTTAAGACTAAGTTACTTACCATGATGTCCTATCACCAACAAATACTTCAGTGTGCATTTCCTACAAACAAGGATACTCTCCTGCAAAGCCAAAATACAACCATCAAAATCAGGAAATTGGCACGTCATGATGGCTCACACCTATAATCCCAGCACTTTGGTAGGCCAAGGCAGCAAGATTGTTTGAGGACAGGAATTCAAGACCAATCTGGGCAACACAATGAAACCATTTGTCTAAAAAAAAATTTAAAAATTAGCTGGGTGTCGTGGCATGTACCTGTAGTCCTAGCTATTTGGGAGGCTGAAGTAGGGGGGATGGCTTAAACCCAGGAAAGGCTAAAGTGAATTATACTCATGTTACTCACTCCAGCCTGGGTGACAGAGAGAAACCGTGTCTCTAAAAAAATAAAAATTAAAAATAAAATTAATCAGGAAATTAACATTGATCCACTGGTAGCATCTAATCCCCAGACACCATTCAAATTACTCTAGATGTCCCAATAATGTCATTTATTACAAGAAAATTCAAGTCATGTGAGGTGGCAAGCAACTGTAGTTCTAGCTTACTCAGGTGGCAGAGGCAGGTGACCTCTAGAGGCCAGCAGTTCAAGGCTATGGTGTGCAATGATCATGTCCACGAATAGCTACTGTGTACCAGCCTGGGCTACATAGCAAGACCCCATCTCAAAAATAAGATCCAGGCCAGGCGCGGTGACTCACGCCTGTAATCCCAGCACTTTGGGAGGCCAATGCAGGTGGATCATGAGGTCAAGAGATCAAGACCATCCTGGCCAACATGGTGAAACCCCATCTTTACTAAAAAATACAAAAATTAGCCGGGCGTGGTGGTGCACACCTGAAGTCCCAGCTACTCAGGAGGCTGAGGCAGGAGAATTGCTTGAACCCAGGAGGTGAAGGTTACAGTGAGCGGAGATCGCGCCATTGCACTCCAGCCTGGCGACTGGGTGACAGAGCAAGACTCTATCTCAAAAAAAAATCCAATCCAAAATCATGTGTTCCATTTAATTGCCATTTGCCTCTTATTTTATATCTTTATTGAGACATAAATTACATACCATACAATTTACCCATCTAAAGTGTGTAATTTAATGGTTTTAGATTACATTCACAAATGTGTACAAACCTCACACAATTTTAGAACATTTTCATTACCTCAAAAAGAAGTTTCATACCTGTTAGCTGTTCCTTCCCCATCATCCTCCACACATAACTCAATCCCTAAGCAACGACTAATTTACTTTCTGTCTAGATTTGCCTGGTCTGGACATTCATATATGTGGAATTATATAATATGTGGTCTTTTGTAACTGGCTTTTTTCACTTAGCATAATGTTTTCAAGATTCATCAGTGTTGTAGCATGTCTCAGTATTTTATTCCTTTTTATGGATTCCATGTTATCAATATATCACACTTTATTAATTAATCAGTTGATAGATATGTTGCTTTTACCTTTTGCCTATCAGGAACACACTGTTACTATAAATATTTATGTACAGGTTTTGTGTGTACATATCTTTTCATTTCCCTTGGGTATATACCTAGGAGTAGAATTGCTGGTTCATATGGTAACTCTATGTTTAATTGTTTGAAAAACTTGCAGACTCTTTTCTGAAGTGGTCATACCATTTTACATCCTTGTCTTGTTCCTGATCTTAGGGGGAAAACATAATTTTTTATCATTTAGTATAAAGTTAGCTGTGCAGTTTTCATAAATGCCTTTTATTAAGTTAAGAAAGTTTACTTCAAGGCTGGGCATGGTGGCTCACCCCTGTAACCCTACCACCTTGGGGGGACGAGGCAGGTAGATCATTTGAGCTCAGGAGTTAGAGACCAGCCTAGGTAACATGGTGAAACCTTGTTTCTACAAAAAATACAAAAATTATCCAAGCGTGATCATGTATACCAGTAGTTCCAGCTACCTGGGGAGCTGAGGCAGGAGAATCGGTTGAACCCAGAGGTTGAGGCTGCAGTGAACCAAGAACATACGACTGCACTCCAGCCTGGGTGACAAAGTCAGACCCTATTTCAAAAAAAGAAAAAAGCAAGTTTCCTTCTAGCTGATTATTTTCATTATGAAAGGGCATTGGATTTTATTAAATGCTTTTTCTGCATCTATTGAAACAATGTGGTTTTGTTTTTTATTCTATTGATACAGTGTATTATATTGATTTTCGGATATGAAACCAACTTTACATTTCTGAAATAAATCCCAATGATCATGGTATACAATTATTTTTAGACATGCTACAATCAGTTTGCTAGAATTTTGCTGAAGATTTTTGCATTCATATTCATAAGAGATATTGGTCTATACTTTTCTTGTTCTTGTTGTTAAGATGAAGTCTCACTCTGTAACCCAGGCTAGAGTGCAGTGGCTCAATCTTGGCTCACTGCAACCTCTGCCTCCCTGGTTCAGGTGATTCTCCTGCCTCAACGTCCCAAGTAGCTGGGACTATAGGCATGTACCACCATGCCCAGCTAACTTTTGTATTTTCAGTAGAGACGGGGTTTCGCTATTTTGGCCAGCCTGGTCTCGAACTCTTGACCTCAGGTGATCCACCCTCGTTGGCCTCCCAAAGCTTTGGGATTACAGGCATAAACCACCATGCCCAGCCTGTCTATAGTTTTCTTGTGACACCTTTGTCTGGTTTTGGTACAATTGGTGAATTGGTATTAATTCTTCTTTAAACCTTTTTGTTTTTGTTTTGTTTTGTTTTTGAGAAGGGTCTCACTCTGTTGCCCAGGCTGGAGTGCAGTAGCTGATTTTGGCTCACTGCAACCTCCATCTCCTGGGTTCAACCAATTCTGCCTCAACCTCCTGAGTAGCTGGGAGTATAGGCACCTGCTACCAACCTGGGCTAATTTTTATAGTTTTTCAGTTCACCATGTTGGCCAGTCTGGTCTCAAACTCCTAACCTCAGGTGATCTGCCCACCCTCACCTTCTAATGTGCTGGTATTATAGGCATAAGTCACGGCACCCAGCCTTCTTTAAACCTTTAGTAGAATTCAGCAGTAAATCCATCTGGGCCCGGGCTTTTCTCTGTGGGAAGATTTTGTTGTTACTAATTCAATATCCAAACTTATAGGTCTATTTAGGTTGACTATTTTTTCTTGAATCAGTTTTGGTAGTATGTGTCATTCTAGGAATTTGTTCATTTTATCTATGTCGTCTATTTTTGGCACACAATTGTTCATAGCATTTCTTTATAATCCCTTCATTTCTGTAATGTCGCCCCCTTCATTTCGGATTCTAGTAATTTGAGTGTTCTCTCTCTTTGCTCTTAGTCTACCGATAGCTTTGTTAACTTTGTTCATCTTTTCAAAAAACCAATTCCATTCCCATGATATTCTGTAGTGTTTTTTTAGTCTCGCTTTTATTAATTTCTACTCTGATTTTTAGAGTAGAAATTCCCTCTGCTTGCTTTGGATTGACTTTGATCTTCTATTCCCTGTGTCTCAAGGCAAAAGGTTAGGCTATTGATTTGATATTTTCTTTTTTTGGCATAAGTGTTGACAGCTATAAATATCCCTCTAAACATTGCTTTAGTTACATTCCACAAGTTTTGATATGTTGTTTATTTTCATTCATCTCAAAGTACTTTCTCATTTCCCTTTTTATTTTCTTCTTGATTTCTTCTTTGACCATTTGGTTATTTAGGAGTATGCTGTTTAATTTCTACATATTTGTAAAGTCTTCCATCCTTGTCCTCCACCTGTGTGACTCCCACCTCCACTCTCCTCACCCCATCATCTGCTCCCCAATTCAGGCTCTTACACCCTGTCCTGGATCACAGCCTAAGTACCTCTACCTAAGTACCTGCCTTCTCCATGCCAGCTATGCTCCACCATGCTGGGTGGGCACCTACCCATGGAGAAGCCAACTCCAACATCTAGTTTTGGACCATCCAAAACCAGTATCTGCTTTCCTTGGCCCTACTTAATGGATTTGGGGCTGAATAGTTAGGGAAGGAGAGGGGAAGAGGAAGTGAAGGGGAAAGTAAAGGAATAGGAGAGAATGAGAGAGGCAACATGAAGAGAAAACTTGTTTTTAAAATGCTCTAGTCAGGTGTGGTGGTGTGCACCTGTAGCTACTTGGGAGGCTGAGTGAGGCAGGGGGGTTGCCTGAGCACAGGGGTTCGAGGCTGCAGTGAGCTATGATTGCACCCCTGCACTCCAGCCTGGGTGAGAGAGCAAGATCCTGTCTCATAAGAAAGAAAGAAAGAAGATGTTTTAGTGCCAGTTTGTCCAACCTGCGACCCACAGACACCCAGGACAGCTTTGAATGCAGCCAACACAAATTTATAAACTTTCTTAAAACTTTATGAGGTTTTTTTGGGGGTCGGGCAAGGTGGCTCATGCCTGTAATCTCAGCACTTTGGGAGGCTGAGGCGGGTGGATCACGAGGTCAGGAGATCGAGACCAGCCTGGCCAACATGGAGAAACCCCGTCTCTACTAAAAATACAAAAATTAGCTGGGCATGGTGGCACGCGCCTATAGTCCCAGCTACTCAGGAGACTGAGGCAGGAGAATCACTTGAACCCGGGAGGCGGAGGTTGCAGTGAGCCAAG